GGGCGATGCGTCGCCGCGTCGACTCGATTTTCCTTTTTCTTGGCCGTTCCCCCGCTCTCCTATGGTTCGTAAGCGAAATAACGAGGTAACTTTTCGTTCGCATAGAAAACCCGGCCGTCGTCTAGACGGGATGCGCTATACTTGCACGGTATATTGCACCGGTTGAATAGCTTGTTCGAAAGTCTGCTCGGTAGTCGGCTCGACGGACCACTTGGTTTTTCCATACAAAGAGGATTAGCATCGGTCCTCTTACTCTTTTCTCCTCCGCGTCCCCCTTTCCTCCTTGATTCTCACTCTTTCTCTCTCTCTCTCTCTCCTTCTCTCTATTTATCTCTCTTCCGTTCGCCTTGCACGGTTCACTCCCGTAAACGCGTTGTTTCCATCTTCGTCTTATTGTTTGCCAACCAGCCGTACCTTCGCGATTCTTTTCGTCGCCGTCGTCGTCGCCGTTGTTCGCGCATCGTTCGCGCTGCGTCCTCGCACGACGTCCCGAAATATTCGCGGCGAAACTTGCGGATTAAAAACTGCAATGCACGAGAGATAGGAGTATTTCCTCTATCCACAACCCCCTTTCGATTGTTCCTCGACGTCCCCTCCTCTCCTCGCGAAGAGATGTTGTTTCCTCGTAGTCCGGGAGTTCGCGTTCGATAGCGTGCGCGGAAAGTCATCGACCGAATCGTCGGGTACAAAGTGCTTTTTTCACGGGAATACGAAGGAATCGAGCGCAACCGCCGCGTCGGTAGACCGTAGGAACTCATTTTCACAGATCTCGCGGCGTACCGCTGTCGCGTGGAACTGGGAACGCGAGTCGTTTCGCAGCTGACACTCGCGAGACTGGAGCCGCGCGGGAGCGAGCGAGCGGAATCGGAGCTCGCCGAACGGAGAGGGCGAACGAGAGAAATGGACGGAGAAACAGGAACGAAACTCTCCGAGTCGACTGGCTTCGCCTCGCCTCGCCTCGCCTCGCCTCGCCACGCTAAAGTTTCCCGCGAGTCCCCGGTTCGCCGCGATCTGTACGCGAGCAATTAAAGCAGGAGACCGCGACAAACGAATCGAGGTCGCGTCGATTAATTGTGCGCGCTGGAAATTTAAACGGCATCTTTCCTTCGCTCATTTGTTCGGACCGGTGAGTCGGGTCGGATCGGGCCGGGACCAATTGCGACAAGCGAATTCGTCGCACGCGTTCCAGTTCCTTATAAGGGAACGTTCTCTCGGATACTTTCCGAAATTTCGCAATGTACCCGCTGAAGAGCTAAGGCCGCGATAACACTGTTCGACACGATTTTTGAGTTCCTCCTATAGCCACTATGAAATTCTTATAGAGCTTCGCTCCCTGATCAAGAATCCGAAAACCGAATTGCTCCATCGCCCTCGGTTTTTGAAATAAACGAACTTTTGTAAAAACCCAAAATTTTCGAGAAAAATGAGGTGTTGCATGAAAAGTACAAACGCTCTAGAAAGTTCTAATCAGTCTCAAAAGATAGAGGAGAGTTTCCCGAATATAGTGGCATGCAATTTATTAATTGTTTTTGGTCTTAAATAGCAATGAATTGATGTCAAAGTTTGAAAAAGCGTCGACGCGCGCAGTTTCTCCGCAATATTTTTGTATTTTTACGAAAAGTTCTTTGTTCAGCACGAAAGCTCTACCCAGGACAACTTTTCGTAAAAATACAAAAATATTGCGCAGAAACTGCTCGCGTCGACACTTTTTTAAACTTTGACGTTAATTTATTGCTATTTAGGACCGAAAACAATTAATAAATTGCATGCCACTATATTCGGGAGACTCTCCTCTATCTTTTAACACCGTTTAGAACTTTCTAACGTTTGTAATTTCCATGCGATGCCTCATTTTTGTCGAAAATTTGGGGTTTTTACAAAAGTTCGTTTATTTAAAAAACCGAGGGTGATGGGGCAATTCGGTTTTCGGATTCTTGTTCTGGGAGCGAAGCTCTACAGAAAGAAAGGTTTGATTTTGTCGGACAGTGTAATCGCCGACCGATGAGCGCCGAATCGACGGTCGACCGGTCAACGATTCTTCCAAGTTGGACCGAACAGGATGCGAATTAATCCTTTGCACACAACAGGTGACTCTAGGACAGCATTGAAAATTTTCACATCATTTCTGACGAAAGATTTTACTTCGTTGAAATTGATATCTGATAAATTGTTAACCTTTTGAGCTCTGAACACTCTTGGCCGAAACGGTTCGTAGGGACGGAGCGCGGCTATCGCTGACCATCGCTGGGGGCGGAATACTTTTTTGTCACACTGAAGCGACTATTCCAGGCGCGAACAGTAATAAATTATAGTGATTCTTTCGCAGAAGGTTAAACGATTAAAAACTGTTATTTTTTAGCATTAGAATAACGTATTATAAACATTAACAATTTAAAACATTAAATTTTACAATCAACTAAAAAGCTTAATTTGATATTTACAACAGGAATTAATAATTTAATTGTGTGTGAAAAATTTCGAAACAATTATCAATACATAGACCGATACGAGTGGCCCTGTATTAATGGAACAGAAGCGCGGTATATCAAAATTCTCCACCAAAGATTGATCTCTTTTGGCCGGTTTTTTTAAAAAAAAAACTCTGCGTTAAGGGATTAACGTTCACGCGGAGGACGGAGCAACGAGCGCGCGGCGATCCGAGGCGTGCCGCGACACATAACGACAAACGCGACGGCGGGGACCGACCCGCGAGAAACGTGTTTGCACACGTAGTCGCGTTGAAAACGGCGTCGTCGGTCGCGCCGACTGTACGCAATGTTCGCGCGAGTCGCAGCGTCGCGGAGAAAGTTACGAAACCACGGAAGTTTGTACAAACCTGTCGTGCTGGCAGAGCGGGTGGGGGGGGAGCGGTCCGCGGGCCGTATCGACGATGGTCGCTTCGGCGCGATGGAACGGAATATTTTGGTCGCGCACAACGGAACCTGCTGGTTTCGTTCGGTTGGCGAGAGTGGGCGAGCGATCGCGGCCGCGAAATCACGGGCGGGCGACGGCCGGACGAACTATCGAGCGTCGGCTGCGCAAGCACCGCCAAACCTGGTTCGACGTTGGAGAGATCTGGCAACATGGTTTGAGCAAACGCGTAGCGTTCTCAACGCGTGCACGCGACCGACCGCTGTCGGCGATCGCTGTCGGAGGCAGTGGCTCTTCGTCGGTCGTCGAGCGTGGTCATTCACGGTGTGTTCGTGTCTCGTGTCGCTTGGAGAGGATTCCAAGTCTGCCTCCAACACTCGACTCGACTCGACGCGACGCGACGCGACCCGACTCGACTCGACTCGACTCGGTCCGGCTCGGTTTGGTTCGTGAGCTACTCGATCGTAGCTCGTGATTATCTCTTCTCGACTGGACGCGTCTACGCGACGACGAACGACCGTGGCGGCGACTCGGTGGATCGCGAGCAGCATGGCGAGCCCGGACTTGGTCGGCTACACGCACGACTTTCTCACCGAGTTCATTCAACTGTACCGAAGTTTCCCCTGCTTGTGGCAGGTCAGGTACAAGGGGTACAAGGACAGGCTGCTCCGGAACCGCGCTTACGACGCCCTCGTGCAGAAGCTCCGAGAGGTGAATCCGGTGGCGGACAAAGAGACCGTCATTAGAAAGATCAACACGCTTCGGACGGCGTTCAGGCGGGAGTACAAGAAGGTGCGGAGCTCCCAGAGAATGATCAAGAACCCGCGGATGCGGTACAGATCGTCCTTGTGGTACTACGACATTCTGAAGTTCGTCGCCGAACAGAACGAGGGCTCGTCGCCGGAGGATGATCGGGACATGGTTAAGAATCCGACGGTCCCCGTGGACGGCTATCACGAGCCGATGGTACGATCTCGACGATCTCGAGAGACATTTGCCCCCTCCCACCCCCTAGATCGCTCCGAAACCGATCGATACGACGACGCGCTCCGCTTCTTCGGACACGAGACAACGACCGACGACGTCGGTGGCGTCGTGCCGTCAACGATACGTCTTCGATACGGCACACATACGACACACGATCCAGTCCCTTTCTCTCTTTCTCCCACCGTCTCAATTTTCCTCGCTCCTGCCCCCTCGCAATCACTCTCTCTCTCTCTCTCTCTCTCTCTCTCTCTCTCTCNTCTCTCTCTCTCTCTCTCTCTCTCTCTCTCTCTCTCTCTCTCTCTCTCTCTCTCTCTCTCTCTCTCTTTCTCTGTGTGTCTGTCTTCGGTCTGTTCGTTTTGCTCGTTCTCCTCGTCGCTCCTCGCGTCGTTCATTGCCTCTCCCACTCTCTTTCTCTTCTCGGAGACCTTTATCGATCCGAAACCTGGTCGCCGCGTTGCAGGAAATTACGCTGAAATCGGAAACCGAACAAAGACGGTTCGCTCTTAGCTTGGATTCCGTGGCGCGGGAACGAGACGCGTCCGCGCGCGCCTAATCGAGTTCTCGCGGCATCATTTCCGCGGCGAAGAAAAGCGAATGCGACGCGATGCGACGCGACGCGTTGCAACGCGGCTCGACGTGGCATGGCGCCGCGCCGCGCGGCGTGGGCGGCGAGCGACAAGCCGCGACGGGAGACGACGGGACACGACGCATTGCGTCGGACGGCAAACGATCGAGGCGCGTCGCGCGTCGCTCGACGCGTCGAGTCGATCAGCTTTCGAGGCACACGCGCGCATACTCGCGCATGTATTTCGACGGGCTAGCTAGAGAGAGCATTTCCTCCTTCGTACGAAGCGTTCGTTTTTTTTTTAACAATAATATTCGTTCGATCAACGGTAGCAAACCGCTCTGTTACAAAAGCGTAACGTTCGGGTCGCGAAAGTAGCGAATTAACCATTTGCACGCCGTTGCCTCCTCTCAGGGGACATCGTAATTTTAGCATATCACTCGAATGTCCCCACCGAGGGGACATTGAAGTTTATTATATTGGAATGCCTTGAAATTTATCGCACTGTGCGATATTAGAAGAAATAAAATTGTTGATTTCGTTTGCAAATGTACGTTCCTCGATGTCTACAAATTCATAGAAATCGAACATCGTAACGTCTTACTTGGTTTCAAAGGTGTATCAGACAGGGTGTCCCAAAAATGTCTCGCAATCCGAAAGTAGTGGATTCCTGAGGTCGTTTGAAGCAACTTTTTCGTTAGCGAAAATGCGATCCGCGGCTTCGTTTACGAGTTATCAACGAAAAACCGTGACCAATCAGGGACGAGATCGTTCGGCGCGCGGCGGCCGAGCCAATGAGCGGAACTGGGCTTCGCGCGCTGGTTGACTGGGCCGCCTCGCGTCAGCCGTACTCGATTCTTATTGGTCACTGTTTTTCGTCGATAACTCGTAAACGAAGCCTCGGAGAACATTTTCGCAAAGGAGAAAGTTGCTTGAAACGACCTCGGGAAGCTGCTATTCCCGGATTACGAGACATTTTCGGGACACCGTTTACAATACAAAGGCTCGTAAGTACACGTTTCTGCGACAAAACGGTGTCGAGAAGCTGGTAGCTAACGTCTGGGATGACGCGGAGTGCGAAGGGTTAAAAGAAAGGAAAAAAGAGAAAGAAACGATGAAAGAAAAGATACAAAATAGACGATACAAAAAGGAAAGATAAAGTTGTGCTACGTAGAAAAGGCGTCTACGTACCGACACAGAAGTTGGATTTTTCACGTTGGCCCTAGACAACGCCGATTCGTTTCCCTCGTCCACCGCCCAAGCGTATCCGTGCAGGTCTCAGCTTATTCTTTGCTCTGTTTCTCTCCGTTTAGTTTGTCCAGGCCGACGTGGACAAGATCGAACCACCGTCCCCGGTGCCCTCGCGGGAAGCAAGCCCGGAGCCGACCTTCCAGCCGGTGATCCTGGAGACCGAGGGATCGTACGCGAGGAGGATCTCGTCGTCCGTGTCCGGCGTGGACGTGTTCAAGAGGAAACTCCAGCAAGAGAACTTCCCGGATCGTTCCGTGAAGGAGCCTACGCGCGAAATGTCCCCGAGACCGTTCGCCGCATGCGTCACCGACGACGAGTTCGACACGTTCGGCCGCTACGTCGCCAACAAATTGAGGAAATCTATGCCCCGGCAAAGCATCATCGCCGAGAAGATGATCGCCGATGTTCTCCTGAGAGCGAACCTCGGCACCCTGGACGAGACCACGTCCCTCACGGAGAAAGTGCCCTCCCGTTGCTTCCTGGTGATGGGCGATCGTTGAACGTTCCGTCGAATCGTCGCCTACGACCATTCTGTGTACACCAGGGGTGTCAAATTCCCGGCCCGGGATGAACATTTTTCATGTCAAGTATCAGGACGTAAACAATAATTTAACTTTATATATGTATAAAGTTAATATAAATATATTATTATATAATATATTATATAATAATTTATATTAATATATTATTATTATATAATATATAATATATTATATAAATATACTAAGTACTAAGTACATTGTAATAAACATATATAAAGTTAATATAAATATATTATTATATATATATATATATATATATATCATTATATAATAATAATATATATTATATATATTATTATTATATAATATATATATAATATATATGTTATATATATATATATTATATAAATATACTAAGTACTAAGTACATTGTAATAAACATATATAACGTTAAATTTACTTAATACTTAGTACACTGTAATTGTCTAAGTACATTGTGAACATGTATAAAGTTAAATTATTATTTACGTCCTGATACTTGACATCAAAGATGTTCATCTCGGGCCGCGAGTTTGACACCCCTGTTGTATATACCGTTTCAACAGTAACTGTTTTATATCTGCACACAATTCTGTATTCCGTACACACACTTTACCCTTGTTTCTCGTCCGCGCGACCCTTTGTATTTACGCGTCCCGCGCATGCGCACACGTGTTGCATGCCCGCGTGGGCGCACAGCGCATAGTACACGGTGCATAGCAGGGACGGGCAGGGACTGCTCGATTGCGAAATAATCGATCGATTCTTCTTCTTTTTTATAATAATAATAGTAATCGATTTTTATAATAATCGATTTTCTACGAAATAGATTATTTTATCGGTTATTTTAAGAGTCGATTCTTGACACCTCGATTCGTTTTTCAACGAAAAACAGATCCGTCGTTCTCTCGCCTACTCTGTCCTGCACACTCCTCGATTTGTACTGCGCCATTTTTTCCTACTTCTGGCTATTTATAGCATTTTGTAGCGGCCATCTGTAGGAACCCACGTGGCGACAGCGAGAGTGACAAAAAAAAAAGAAAGACCAAAGTGAAAATTGGTGAGAATAGATCAAAGAAATATGGAGAATTCCGATCTTCATGTATGAATAAATATGTGAGTATAACTGTATATGAGCCGTTTATTTTGAAAATGGCATAAGTCACTTTACCGTAATGAAAAGTGGTGATTTTTTAATGTTCATACGAAATTATTTATACCGAGAAAAATATCAGTATCCTGAGATAACGAATACAAGTAAATCCTCTCGAAAGTTAGCATCCATATTTTTAAACGTGTTAAAACGCGAACCCTTAAATATATCGAACTTAAAAACAAAGTGACTTATGCCACTTTCAAAATAAACGGCTCATATGTACGCGTATCCGCGCAGCGGCCCGCTTTGGGACTCGCGGGATGTCCAGATCGACGGCGACGCGGCGAGAAGGGGCAAGAAAACACACTTAGCGCGAACTCGTGCGCAACTACGGCCGAGTGCAGGTCGCAGTGCGGACAAACGGAAACTGGCGATCAGCCAATCAAAGCGACCTTTCCTCCGCGTATACGGGCAACCGGCGAACCGCATCGAACCGCGTTTCTTTCTCGAACGGAGCAGCCGCCGCTCCGTCTCGTTTATCCGTCCGAAAGCGAACGCAACCGATCTTCTCGGAAGCGATCGATCGGACACGCGCACGATTCCGTTCGAAAAGTCAACGTTGACGCAAAGTGAACGCGCCCGTAACTTTGTGCTCGGTGTTCGCCGGCGTCGAGGAAGCTTGCGTCAAGATTTTGCGTGAGCCAATTCCAGCCCCTGTTTGCGGCGCGAGTCGTTCCAAACTTTTGCAATAACGGTTTCGTCGGCTCGATCGATCGGTCGGTCGGTAGGTGCGTGCTTATTGCCCCGAAAGCGACTTACGATTTACGATTTACCACGGCCGAGACTGGTGGGGTCGCCGGCTTTTGCTCGAGAAAAAGTTTCGTCGGCGAAAGTTCGCGTGAAACAAGCGCATCGTTGACTACATACATATTGGGTCGGCAACTAAGTAATTGCCGATTTGTTCGATGAAATAAAAAATTTTTTTTTACTTGGAACGAAGTTTAATCCGTAATGTATTTTCCATTTTGTTCGATGACCTTTTGCCGTCTCTCCGACAACTTGAAAATTCCACGCTCGTAGAAAGTCTGATCCTTTTCGGCCAAAAACTGAGTTCAGTGAGATTTTACAGCGTCATCGTCGTTAAAAGTTTTACCACGGAGGGAGTTGTCCAGGGATCGAAATAAGTGGCAATCCGATGGCGCGAGATCAGGGCTATATGGTGGGTGTAACAACAATTCCCAAGCAATATCCATGAATTTTTGCCGAGTGGACAAAGACGTGCGCGGCCTAGCATTGTCCTGCTGGAAAATGACACCTTTACGATCGACCAATTCTGCTCGCTTTTCCTTGACCGCTGCATTCAATTTGTCCAGTTGCTAACGTTCACGGATAATAAAAAATAACATAATAATAATAATAATAATAATTTTATAATATAACATTTACGGATATCATAAAAATGGGAGTGAGAGACGTCTATAACTGAAATCGGCAATTATTTAGTTGCCAACCCGATAGATCGTGTCGCCCTTCTATACGTTTCAAGCAGGCGCGTACAAGCATGTATTATACGACGCACGATGGCTGCCGATGGTCGATCGAAATAAACGCCGATATCGAAATAAAACGGAATTTTCTTGCTACGCGACGCTATCGCGTTTATAATACCCGGCGTCGTTGTTCTCTCCCCGGTTCATTATTCTTCGCGTTGCACGACGGGAGGGGCGATAACGTTCGCGACTGAAAGATTGATTAATCGTTCTTCCAGTTCGACGAACGAAAGATCGTTCCGTCGATTCCCCGGGCCAACAATGTGTACCGTATATTTGGATCCAGACCCAGCCGAAGACGAGGTGGCCGAGTGGTTAAGGCGTTGGACTGCTAATCCAATGTGCTCTGCACGCGTGGGTTCGAATCCCATCCTCGTCGATGAATTTTTTTTTCCCCCCCGATCCTCCTCGAAATTCGATCGTTTTTTGCCCGTGCGATTATCGAACGCCGTTTCTCACAATCGTACGAAATTCGCAGAACGTTTAACCCCTTAACGTGCACGCTCGAGTTAACTCGAGCGCGCTAAACTGGCCGAACTGTGCACACTCGAGATAATTCGAGCGGCGTTGTACTTTATGTTGCTATAATTTTTCACACTCGAATGCGATCGAGAATTGAAAATAACAATGTGAAAGCAAAAAAGAAAATACTCGTTTTATTGATATTTATTATTTACATGGAATTGTAAGCTATAACACTTACTTATTCAAGTATAAAATATATCCTTTTTCTACTTATTACTTACGACTTATCTCTTCCTTGCGAGCCGCTTTCCGACAGCGTATTCATATTCAGATTCTGATTCGCTCATTTTTCAATATATATTTTACTAAAATATAATGTAAAATAAGATATAATAATAATAATAATAATAATAATAATAATAATAATAATAATAGTAATATTCTGAAAATTAGAATTGCAATAAAAATTTCGATTATTTTTGTATTTTTGTAATTTTCTTGCCAAGACAACGTTCTAAATTGTGTTTTTTTACATTGAAA